CACCTCAGCCAACATCACTTTCTGCTGCTCCTCCAAACTGTGGACCCGCAGCTCCAGCATCTCCTTGACGACCCACATCTTGGTCAACTGCACCATGTTCTGCTTGTGCTCCTCCAGCTGCTTCTCCACAGCCTGCATTGCAGCTCTCGCCTCAGCCAGCACCTCCTTACACTGTTGGTCCACCCCTTCCAGCCACATCTCGATCATCTCCAGTCCCTTCACCCGCAGGAACTTCTCCAGCACCTCCTCCTCCTGACGGTACAACCGTGAGGCACAGCGTCTCCACCGCCCCATTGCACCCACCCCCTGCTCACCTTGACGCCCTTGTCAGGCCTCCTCTTGTACTCCTCCTGCATACGCTTCAGGTCCTTCTTGAACAGCCGTATCCCCCCCGGTGCCACGTAGTCCCCACGCTGCACACGGAGCTCCATGTCCCCCCACAGCTCCCTCAGCACCGCCCGGCATCGCTGCTGCGACGCTGCCTCGTTGCGCCGGCAGAACTCCTCCTTGGCCGCCTCCAGTTTGTCCTGTGCCAAGAAGCAGCGCTCAGTGCACAGAAATCAGCCCCATCCCCACGCCGTGCTGGTGACGCACCATCAGCAGTGCCTGGTAATGCTGCTCCGTGCCGTCAAGGGCTTGGGACAGGAAGAAGGCGATGGCGCGTTTCTTCCAGTCCTGGTGCGCGGCCATCAGCGCGTCGAGCGAAGCCGTGGGCAGCACCAGGTCCTGCTCCATGCCCCGCCGGTATTTGGCCGCCGCCATCTCCACCGCCGCGTTGTTCTCAGCTTCTGTCACCGCCGTGTGCACGCTCTCCACGCAGAGCACGGAGCCGGAGCTGATGGCTGCCATGTAAGCCTCCAGCAGGCGCGCCAGCGCTGAGAGGTGACAGTCGCACGTCACCCCCACGCACAAACCCCCGCGTGCCACCCGTCCTCGCGCTACCACTGCTCACTTCTGCCTGTCACCGGGCTGCTGTTCAGCAGCACCTTCACTGGCGCCTCTTTCCAGATGTGCTGGCAGAAGGCCTCCTCCTGTTGTCTGAAGCGTGGCTGGAGCTGATCCTCCCGCAGCACCTCCAGCTGTGCCAGGTCCCTGTCGGCCGCCGGCCGCTCCAGCATGAACATCTTGTGGTGAGGGAAGAAGCTGCGTAGGCAGAGCTGCACCTTGCTTTTGTCCTTCAGTAGAAAGAACCCTACAGATTTGATGCGGAAATCTGGAAGTGGAAGAAGACAGTGAGAACAAAGGCTGTTTCTGGGGGCCATCGTGGGACGATGACCCGACTGGAGAAGCGCGAGTAGAAGCAACGCGCGGCTCTGAGCGGACGAGAATTTGTGTGGGCCGCTACTGCCTGGACGTGAGGGAGACTTCAGTGTTCAGGGCACGTTGTAGGGATGGAAAGTTACGGGAGGGAGCTTGGAGATGTATATAAGGGATGTTAGAATCTGCAATAAAGGATTTGGATCGTTCACATCTGAGTCTGCGCCTCAGACGCTGCATGTCAGCAGTGCTCTGCCCTTAGGGACACACGGTGACAGATGGAGACGCACAGTGACTGCCTTACTGTTCCATGGGCGCAGTATCTGATCCAGGTACTCATCCGCGCTGATGGGCCGCTCGCCCTCCTGCGGCTTGAAGTCACGCACGACCCAGACGAAGCCAGGGAAGACACGGGCGAACTCGTCTTCTGGCCCAGTGCCGTCCGCCTGCGCTCGCACACGCACGTAATTCTTCAGATCTGCCAGCAAACTGTTGGCACGTGTCACCGTGTCACCGCTCACACTGTCACACTGTCCCCGCTGTCCCCACCTCGCCGCCCTCCCAGCCGTCCCCGTACCTCAAGCTCTCCAGCATCGTGTGGCTGTCGGTGTGCATGCTGTTGTACACCAGGGTGCTGCAAAGCAGCAGCGCCAACGTGAAGATCCAGGTGTTGTTGCGGATGTCACCCTGAACCCGCAGCCATGTTAGAGGGGATCTGGAGGGGTGTGGGGGAGGTATGGAGCCGCCCCCCCCCCCCCCCCCCGCACTCACTCTGCAGGGGTTTCCCAGCCCCTCGGTGTCCAGCAGCACCAGCGTCACGCCAGGTTTGCACGGGTGCGGCAGACACCACATCCAGATGCCCTCTGTTTGCTTCTGCACCGCGCTGCCCAGTGGGGAGCCTGTGGGCACAGAGCCATCAGAAATCTCCCCAGATGCCCCCAGAATGAAGAGAACCACCCCCACAGCCCGGCTTACTGGTGCACTTCTGTGCCATCCGCTTCGTCAGGAAGGACTTCCCAGTTCTAGAAAGCCCAACGATGGCCACCACCACCACTGGCTGAGTGGCGCCGCGCAGAACTGCCAGCGCTGCGGGGTTGAGGGACAGCTTGCAGTCCTGGTTGTGCACCAGGCAGAGCGGAGCTGACATTGGGGGCACGGCGGCCTCCATGGTTTTCCTGCTGTCTGCAACAGAACAGGAAGCCCCCCGGCCCGCCCTCAGCCGCTGCTTCCTGTGCTTACCCAGAAAACCCTGCGCTGCCCCGAAGTGAAAACGCCTGGGCGTTTCACTATTAGCGAATGTACTGCATGAAGCACTGATAGGGGAAAGAGCCACAGCTGGGTGACAACACCCATTGCTCCTGGAGGGGCAAGGAGTAGCATTGGGACCACTGTGCTGCACCATGGGGCAGCTGGAGTACAGAGGTACCACAGCACAGCAGCTTCACAGAACAGCCACAGTGCAGCCACAACAGCACAGCAGCTCTATAGAACAGCCACAGTGCAGCCACAACAGCACAGCAGCTCCACAGAACAGCCACAGTGCAGCCACAGCAGCACAGCAGCTCCACGAACAGCCACAGCAGCACCGTGACTCAGCACGCGGCTCCAGGCTGTGCGGCAGGGGGTCACTGCGTGTCGGGATGGCGACATTCCGCCGTGGGACGGCGGCGCTGCGTTGTGGGGCGGTGTCCCGGCGAGGTGCCGCTGTCGCGATGCTGTCGCTGCGCCTCGCGCCGCCCTCAAGGCCACGCTTTGGTTTTGCTTTCGGTTCCGCGGAGGTGGCCCCGCCCACTGCCCCGTGGCTCGCTGCTGATTGGCTCCGATGGGGACGGGGAGAGCAGAGTTGCCTCCCATTGGACGTACCGCGCGTCGCGGGTGAAAGACGCGCGGCGATTGGTCCGCGGCTGGCATCGACCTCCGACCGCTGCATCGCGGCTGAGCGGCGGTCCGGAGCACCGCAATCACGGCAGGGGCGGCCCGCAGCCGGCAGTGCGGGGAGCGCAGCGCCCATCCCGGCAGCGCTGCCCGGCCGGATGTGGAGCTGCCTGCCGTCCGCCTGCGTGGGCCAAAGAAAGGTGCGAAACGAAGGAATCGATTCGAAGAAGCGCACCAGCAGAAGCGTCACTACTTAATTAGGTTAGGAAGGCATTCTTATGGGCAGCTTTGGTTTAACCCTCCAGAAATTCCCCCCCAGCCGATCGTTCGTGAACAGACTGCGTTGCCTCGTGTATTACGCATTCGTTGCATTCCCCAAATCGCAACCCCATCGGCTCCCAGTGACTCACAAAGTGTGCAGCCCCATCTGATGCTCTTCCACCCTGTTCTGACAGCGCTGTGACCGTCTGCTGTCAGTCCACTGTCGGCCCTCTGGGTTTGCCTCCAACACCTCCGTTATCTTTAACCCTGCTGAGAGCCTCACAACGACTCGTTTTGACCCAAAGGATGCTGTGGGCTGCCAGGACAGCCAGAGGCGTCTGCACACACAGATAAGGACAACACCAGGGAATGTCTCAATGCCCTCAATCAGATTTTAGGCCAATTCTGCCCGGTGTTCGGATCCTGGTTTAAGGGCTCCATAAAGCTGGCACCATTTTTTTGTTGTTGTGTTTCTTTTGCTTTGCTAAGGCAGGACAGTTGTGCAGTGTGCCTCCCCTCCTGCAGCGCTGCATCGCAACCACAACACGAGAGGCTCCTATGGTGCTGCAAGCAAGCATTAATCATGTCATACATGCTGATAAGGACATCGTATCGACTTTGCGTGGGCAGCACTGAGCAACGCTGCCATCAGTGCAGCTGCGGGACAGCCCTGCAGGCTCTGATCCACCGATGGGAACGCAGAGCTGCGCTGAAAAACGGCGTTCGGCCGCTGGGAATTTCTTCCGTCAGCTCACCGCGCCGTGCTCTTTGCTGCAGCACCCGTGGAAACGAACGGGAGGTTTTCCTTTCGCTTTGTTTCGGGGAACTCGGCGCCCAGACCGGCACAGAAACGAACATCGCTGCCTCTGCGTGACGCAGAGGGGCACGAATCCTCCCCCTGCGCCGCGCGGAGCAGCGATCGCTCGGGACTCGAACTGCTCTGATAAGAGCCCCGCTCCGCCTGCCGGCTCGCTGCTTGGGCTGCGCTGCTCTCGGTTTTCTCCCCAGGGCCGCAGCGCCGTGCTGCGGTCCGAGATAAGGCCGGTATCTCGCAGGTGTTCCGGCCGCTCCTCGCCAAGGACACCGCAGCGCGGGGGAGGAGCGCAGCGGCAGCGCTGCCCCACGGCGCCCAGCGCCCGGACCTTCCCGCACGTTTTCCTTTCCGATCCCGTTTAACGTTTCCGGGCCATAAAGAAGCGTTTTCCCGGTGCTCGCGCCCAGGCCGTTCCCGTTCCCCGTTTTCCGGCCCGGTTCCGCGGCGCGGGGCCGAGCTCAGGACTACAACTCCCGGCGTGCCCCGCGCGGGGCGCTGCGCGCTGATTGGCTGCGGGCGGGATTTGAACGGGGCGCGTGGCGGGGCCGGAACTCAGTTGGAGGCGGTGGCGGAGGGGCTGGGGTGAGTCCGGGGGGGGGGTCGGGGGGCTTTGGGAAAGGCTGAGGGGGGGCCCTGGAGGGCCTGCAGATGGAGAATGAGAGGAGATGGAGGCACCCTGCAGGCCTTGGGCTGAGGAGTTGGAGGGAGGGGTGTGGGGGGATTTAAGGGGGTCGTGGGAGGGGGGTGGGAATCTGAGAGGCTTCAGGGTCCCGGATGGTGTAGGATTGGGGCTGCAAATGGACTGAAGTCCTTGAAAGGGAGAGCTGAGGGGGGGTTCAGTCCTTAGGGAGGCTGAGGATTGGGGCTGGGGAGGGGGGAAACCCTGCAGGGAGGATTGCGGTGTGTTGGGAGGG